GAGAGAGAGAGAGAGAGAGAGAGAGACATTATCAGTTAGTGAAACACACTGCTTCACTACTTAGAGATCGAGTCTGCTTTCAGGTATAAACACAGACTAAACATGACTGGAAAGGCAAAGTGATTCATGGGTAATTTTCATATTAAAACATGAATCATCTTTTAAGCACACGTTTAAAGAAACTCATCAACATTCATTATTATGTTCTATAACATAAAACAACCGGTAAAACTAAACTGTAGGTATTGTAAACTAAACATGTAAGGCATTTTAATAAAGATTTGGTGAGCATTTTCTGATAAATACAGCTTCATTATTGATATCTGCCCCTTGTGGCGTTTGCTTTCCACTACACACGTGAGCCGACAACAGTCCTGCATATGCAAAGTGCTCATGCTGACATGTTACTACTGTAAAACTGATCAAACTAAGGTCAGAAATGTATATGCTGTTTCAATACTTTTGCATAATTCTGTTTAAATTTTAAAATAAAGTTAATTAACTCTTCGATGATTACAGAGGTATTGTGTGATAAAAGCTGTTATATTGTAGACGGGAGAACGTGTTTCTGTGAGATTTTTGTGAAAAGTGTTAAAAATAGATTTTTGATTGATGTTGGAGTGTTTTTTATTCTTTATTGTAAATGGAAAAGGAGCATTTACACTAAAATACACTATTTTTAAAAACATTGTTTAATAAATGTATTTGATGTTTAATTTTGGATGAAGCTAAATGTTTTTGATGAAGGCACCAGCAGGTTTTAAAAACCAAACGTACATTTTAGTTTCGCATGGTACAGATCATACTTTACTCTTTACTTTACTCCTTTACTTTACTCTTTACTTTACTCCTTTACTTTACTCTTTACTTTACTCCTTTACTTTACTCTTTACTTTACTCCTTTACTTTACTCTTTACTTTACTCCTTTACTTTACTCTTTACTTTACTCCTTTACTTTACTCTTTACTTTACTCCTTTACTTTACTCTTTACTTTACTCCTTTACTTTACTCTTTACTTTACTCCTTTACTTTACTCTTTACTTTACTCTTTACTTTACTCCTTTACTTTACTCCTTTACTTTACTCTTTAATTTACTCTTTAATTTACTCTTTAATTTACTCTTTACTTTACTCTTTACTTTACTCCTTTACTTTACTCTTTACTTTACTCCTTTACTTTACTCTTTACTTTACTCTTTACTTTACTCTTTACTTTACTCCTTTACTTTACTCCTTTACTTTACTCCTTTACTTAATTCTTTAATTTACTCTTTACTTTACTCCTTTACTTTACTCCTTTACTTTACTCTTTACTTTACTCCTTTACTTTACTCCTTTACTTAACTCTTTAATTTACTCTTTAATTTACTCTTTACTTTACTCTTAACTTTACTCTTTACTTTACTCCTTTACTTTATTCATTACTTTACTCCTTTACTTTACTCTTTACTTTACTCCTCTACTTTACCTCTTTACTTTACTCTTTACTTTACTCTTTACTTTACTCCTTTACTTTACTCTTAACTTTACTCTGTTACTGTTACTCTTTACTTTATTCATTACTTTACTCCTTTACTTTACTCTTTACTTTACTCCTCTACTTTACCTCTTTACTTTACTCTTAATTTTACTCTTAACTTTACTCCTTTACTTTACTCCTTTACTTTACTCTTTACTTTACTCCTCTACTTTACCTCTTTACTTTACTCTTAATTTTACTCTTAACTTTACTCCTTTACTTTACTCCTTTACTTTACTCTTAACTTTACTCTTTAATTTACTCTTTACTCTTTACTTTACTCTTTACTTTATTCATTACTTTACTCCTTTACTTTACTCCTTTACTTTACTCTTTACTTTACTCTTTACTTTACTCCTTTACTTTACTCCTTTACTTTACTCCTTTACTTAACTCTTTACTTTACTCTTTACTTTACTCCTTTACTTTACTCCTTTACTTTACTCCTTTACTTTACTCCTTTACTTTTACTCCTTTTACTTAACTCTTTAATTTACTCTTTACTTTACTCCTTGACTTTACTCTTTACTTTACTCCTTTACTTTACTCTTTACTTTACTCTTTACTTTACTCCTTTACTTTACTCCTTTACTTAACTCCTTTAATTGACTCTTTAATTTACTCTTTACTTTACTCTTTACTTTACTCTTTACTTTACTCCTTTACTTTACTCCTTTACTTTACTCCTTTACTTTACTCCTTTACTTTACTCCTTTACTTTACTCTTTACTTTACTCCTTTACTTTACTCCTTTACTTTACTCCTTTACTTAACTCTTTAATTTACTCTTTACTCTACTCCTTTGCTTTACTCCTTTACTTTACTCCTTTACTTTACTCTTTACTTTACTCCTTTACTTTACTCCTTTACTTAACTCTTTAATTTACTCTTTACTTTACTCCTTTACTTTACTCTTTACTTTACTCTTTACTTTACTCTTTACTTTACTCCTTTACTTTACTCCTTTACTTTACTCCTTTACTTTACTCTTTACTTTACTCCTTTACTTTACTCTTTACTTTACTCCTTTACTTTACTCTTTACTTTACTCTTTACTCTACTCCTTTACTTTACTCCTTTACTTTACTCCTTTACTTTACTCTTTACTTTACTCCTTTACTTTACTCCTTTACTTAACTCCTTTACTTTACTCTTTACTTTACTCCTTTACTTTACTCTTTACTTTACTCTTTACTTTACTCTTTACTTTACTCCTTTACTTTACTCCTTTACTTTACTCTTTACTTTACTCTTTACTTTACTCCTTTACTTTACTCTTTACTTTACTCCTTTACTTTACTCTTTACTTTACTCTTTACTTTACTCCTTTACTTTACTCCTTTACTTTACTCCTTTACTTTACTCTTTACTTTACTCTTTACTTTACTCTTTACTTTACTCCTTTACTTTACTCTTTACTTTACTCTTTACTTTCCTCTTTACTTTACTCCTTTACTTTCCTCATTACTTTACTCCTTTACTTTACTCTTTACTTTACTCTTAACTTTACTCTTTACTTTACTCTTTACTTTATTCATTACTTTACTCCTTTACTTTACTCTTTACTTTACTCCTCTACTTTACCTCTTTACTTTACTCCTTACTTTACTCTTAACTTTACTCTTTACTTTATTCATTACTTTACTCCTTTACTTTACTCCTTTACTTTACTCTTTACTTTACTCTTTACTTTACTCCTCTACTTTACCTCTTTACTTTACTCTTAATTTTACTCTTAACTTTACTCCTTTACTTTACTCCTTTACTTTACTCTTTACTTTACTCCTCTACTTTACCTCTTTACTTTACTCTTAATTTTACTCTTAACTTTACTCCTTTACTTTACTCCTTTACTTTACTCTTAACTTTACTCTTTAATTTACTCTTTACTCTTTACTTTACTCTTTACTTTATTCATTACTTTACTCCTTTACTTTACTCCTTTACTTTACTCTTTACTTTACTCTTTACTTTACCTCTTTACTTTACCTCTTTACTTTACTCTTAATTTTACTCTTAACTTTACTCCTTTACTTTACTTTTTACTTTACTCCTTTACTTTACTCTTAATTTTACTCTTAACTTTAGTCCTTTACTTTACTCATTACTTTACTCCTTTACTCCTTTACTTTACTCCTTTACTTTACTCATTACTTGACTCCTTTACTTTACTCTTTACTTTACTCTTTACTTTACTCTTTACTTTACTCTTTACTTTACCTCTTTACTTTACTCTTAATTTTACTCTTAACTTTACTCCTTTACTTTACTCTTTACTTTACTCCTTTACTTTACTCTTAACTTTACTCCTTTACTTTACTCATTACTTTACTCCTTTACTCCTTTACTTTACTCCTTTACTCATTACTTGACTCCTTTACTTTACTCCTTTACTTTACTCCTTTACTTTACTCCTTTACTTTACTCCTTTACTTTACTCATTACTTGACTCCTTTACTTTACTCCTTTACTTTACTCTTTACTTTACTCCTTTACTTTACTCTTAACTTTACTCTTTACTTTACTCCTTTACTTTTTACTTTACTCCTTTACTTTACTCTTAACTTTACTCTTTACTTTACTCTTTACTCCTTTACTTTACTCCTTTACTTTACTCTTTTACTTTACTCTTTACTTTACACCTTTACTTTACTCCTTTACTTTACTCTTTACTTTACTCTTAACTTTACTCTTTACTTTACTCTTAACTTTACTCTTTACTTTACTCTTTAATTTACTCTTTACTTTACTCTTAACTTTACTCTTTACTTTACTCTTTAATTTACTCTTTACTCTTTACTTTACTCATTACTTTACTCTTTACTTTATTCATTACTTTACTCCTTTACTTTACTCATTACTTTACTGTTTACTTTACTCTTTACTTTACTCCTTTACTCCTCTACTTTACCTCTTTACTTTACTCTTAACTTTACTCTTAACTTTACTCCTTTACTTTACTCCTCTACTTTACCTCTTTACTTTACTCTTAACTTCACTCTTAACTTTACTCCTTTACTTTACTCTTTAACTTTACTCCTTTACTTTACTCTTTACTTTACTCCTTTACTTTACTCTTTACTTTACTCTTTACTTTACTCCTTTACTTTACTCATTACTTTACTCTTTACTTTACTCTTTACTTTACTCTTTACTTTACTCCTTTACTTTGATGGAGTGAGGAAACGGTGGAAACTCTATCCACTGAACACATCCATTAGCCTACATGTTTAATCTCCTTTGTTAAGCTCAAAGATTTGCTTCAAAACTATTTCTAAATTCAGCTCTAAAGGAATAAAGGAGTAATAATAATGAAGTGTGCTCAGAAAACTGAGTTATATCCAAACACACGTCCTGTTCTTATCCACATATGCTGATGCAGACGCCTCCAAAACCCCACAGCTGGACACATCTACACTTGTGTTTATTATAAATCTGCAGATAATCAATAACACTGATCATAATCATCACATTATACAGATGCAGATGCTCATCAATAACCTGAAGAAGCCCCCTGAGGTGAAGAAGGCCTGGAGGCAGTGTGTTTATATTGATGGAGAAAATCCTCATTTCTGGATCATTTTAATCTTTAATTGTTCATCTGTAGAGATGTGTGTGTGTGTGTGTGTTGCTGATCATTATGTGTCTGTTCAGCAGTGTGTGAGTGTTTAAGGCACACAACTAAGAGCACTTTAGAGCACTTTCAGCTGGTCTATAGCACAGTCTATTTCAGCTGCTCAGAATAGTGGCGCTCCAGCAATGCGCCTTAACACACCTCCACCATAGAGCAGCACACACATCAGTCCACAGAGCAGCGCAGATGGAGATACTATTGAAAATGTGGCAGAAAACAGGAAAATAAAGGTGGCGCTGGTCTAAAAACAGCAACAAATCACAGCAAACATGCGTTGTGTCTTGTGCCGGCTGTATGATCGGGCCCTCAGTGTTTTACTCTCAGTGTCACCCCTTCACTGCTCTGCACTGTTACTCAGCATCATGGCAGATCTGTATTCATGCTAATCAAGTATTCTCTGAATGTTCATATGTGCTGATTTTCATTTCCTCTGGTGGTCATTTCTGACCGTGAAGACCACAAGTATGACTGTTTATTAGGCCTGCTCATTCACACTGAAGGCCGAGTTTTAGACTATTCTGATGATTCTGTCGGTATTTAAAATGGAAAAAGCCAACATTATTCAGTCTAACATGAGCCAAGTCTCCCAGAGGGTCCCGATCTGAACCTAGAACTGTCAGTACTGAAGGTGCTGGTGGCCTATAGGTGTGTTATATGCGTGCTGTGACAGGTGAAGATGAAACGCTCGTCCTCTTACACTTGACGATGACTTGTGCCACCGCGTCGATGATGCCCAGGCTGCTCATGGCCACGCAGGTGTAGTTGGCCGACTCCCGAACGCCGTTGAGCTCCAGAACGTTCCTTCCGACTGGCATCTCGTCCTCGGGCGTCAGATCCTCGCTGTTCAGCATCCACTTGACATACGGCATCGGCGAGCCCACGGCCACACAGGTGATGTTCACGCTGCCGCCCGGCATGATCTCGTGGCTGGTGGGAACGATGGTGAAGCGTGGAGGAACACGGCGAACTGCGGAGCACAGAGAGCACACACAGACACACACACGCGTAACAATGGCAGAAGACTGCAGGATACACACACTTTCACATTCACAGGACAAGCTGATAAACACAGCGCCGCCTAGAGGATGACCATGAGGACACCTCTGAATCCCAGATAAAGGTCAGAGCGGTGTCCTGACCAACACTCGAGCAGCTAAACGCACACGCACAACTCCTCTAGTGCGCCGGCCCGAGCCCTCTCCGTCACACACACTAGCCTTACACACACTGCACAACATGCTCCTTACTTACAGCGGTGTGTCCTGTGTCCTGTCCAGATATCTAACAATCCTTCAGTCTTTTCTAGACTAGAAAACACACTCATTCAGAAATCTACATCAGCGCACTTAACTGTGGCGACTGTGGCTTTAAATGCAAATGAGATCCAGAAGAGGGCGGAGCTACAGAAGCCTGTTATTACAGAGGTGCTTGGAGAGAACTTTACTTTTCTGAGGCGGTAACTGGTGAAAACTAGTTTGGGAACCACTGCTCTAATGGCTAACGGACAGACGGCTGCTTCCCAGTCAGGGCTGTTGTTTATGCTAATGAGATGGAGACTAGTGGGCGGGGCTTTGCCCTCTGATGACACGTACAAAGAGAGAACAAACACAGTTCAGTCATGTTGATCATCAGAGGCTGCTGGAGATACTCACACACACACACACACACACACACACACACACACACACACACACACACACACACACACACACACACACTGCTGTTGTGTTTAAAGCCCCTCCAGCACTCATTTGGGCCTAGTAGCTGCTCTTTAAGGAAAATCTCCCTTTAGTTTTGACTGGATGTTGAAAGATAAACAGTATATCTGCTCGTCTATAAACGCTTCTGGATTGTAGGATTGCTGATATTTAGACTAGAAGCGAAACACACACACACACACACACACACACACACACACACACACACACACACACACACTGTAAGAGCTACAGCACATCATCAGTGAGTGAGAGTCCAGCACTGACTCCTCCTGACGCCGGCTGATCAGTACCTGCAGATATCGAGTGTATTGATCAGCGTGTTGGGCAGGAGTGTGTGTGTGTGTGTGTGTTTATGGAGCGTGTCTGCACGGGTCTCTTCATGCCTGATGAAGATAGGGAACACACACATGAACCGACACACTTCTGCAGCTCAGTACACTAACTAGTGCTCACTACAGCCCTGCGCGTGCTAACAGCCCCTGCTAATAGTCTACAGTGCTCTAACTGCTGTATAGTCAGCTGAGCTGCGGGTCAGTTTACCTCTGCTGTGTGTGTGAGAGTGTGTGTGTGTGTGTGTGTGTGCTGGTTTTGGTGCTTTGCGAGGACACATTATTTGCATAATGACATGAGTGTGACCTACATACTACAATATTGAGGCGGCTTATAAGAACATGTCTTGTTATTATCCTTAACAAGGTTTATTCACACTGAAAATTCTCCACAGCTCTTCTGTCAGGATTTAACCGTATCCTGCCTATTGAGAGTCCTCATAAATCACAAAAACCAACCTGTGTGTGCGTTTGTGTGTGTGTGTGTGTGTGTGTGTGGGCGCATCGCTATATTCTAGGACAAATGATGTGGTTCTGCAGCAGAAGCTGAGGCTCCGCAGGGAGAAGCTGCTGGTAGATCTACATCTGACAGAGGAAATAAATAAAGAAATAAGAAAGAAGCAGCGAGAAACGCTGGAGGTTATGCTAATCCAGTCGGCTGAGGTGGAGCGCTGACAGCCCCGCATCCAGACACAGAGATGAAGGAGAGATGGAAAGAGAGATGGAGAGAGGGAGAGAGAGACACAGAGAGAGAGAGAGAGAGAGAGAGAAAGAGAGAGAGAGAGAGAGAGAGAGAGTTGGAGAGAGGTAGAGAGAGAGAATGTGCTAAGAAATACAGCTTTCTGAATTCTTAGAAATCAGCAGGTCAGACTGAAAACATACAGCGAAAAGAGAGAGAGATGGAGAGAGATGGAGAGAGAGGATGAGACAGCCTGAAACTAAGAACCAGAGCAAGCTGAAACAGGAAACTGAAGCCACTGCCAGCCCATATAAGGGCGTTCCCTACTCCTGTGCATGTTTTGAGCAATATGACCCATATGTATTCATACTTTAACAATATTAGTAAATATTATTATAATATTATAATATTATATAATAAATATATATTATATTATATAATAAATATTATTATTACACACATCCAATTCTACAGTAGTGTTCACAGTTTGCCGCTATTTAATGTGTATTTAGCCTCTAAAAATCGTCTAAAGTGTTTAGATGTGGATTGCTGTAGCGAAGTAATGCTGTGTTACTCATAGTCACAAATGAACAAGCAACAGATAACACCTAATATAAGAGTTCACACTCAGCTGATGACTGATTATAAAGCATGTTTGGTATAATAATAATAATAATAATAATAATAAATATAGCTGCAAGCAGCAATTAAGGGGCCAAGCACTATTGGCCAAAAGGTGGCGCTGCTCCAGTAGTTTTTGAGCACTTTCAGGGCATGGGGTTGAAGATGCATGCCATGTTTTGTAATGATATGTGAATGTGTTGGTAAAATATAGCATTTTTGGCCAAAAATCTAAATGGGCGACGCCAAAAATGGCTGACCTGTGGAAATCAGACATGACTCGACTCGACATGCTCTGCCGGATGTAATGAGAACAGTTTTATGAGTTTCGGATGAAAGGTTAAGACGTTATAAACAAAAATGCAAGTTTTTTGTATCTCCAGACAGTGCACCGAAACTCCGCATATAACCTCAGACCCTAGTTGTCATAACACACACCAAGTTTGGTGTGAATCGGTGAATGCGTTACGGAGATATCGCCTCAAGTCCATTTTCACAAGTTCTTCGTTAAATTTGATCACAAGTCAAACGAAAACGGTTGGTCTAATCAACTTAAATTCCATAACGTTTGGTTGGCATGGTCTGTAGATCATGTGACTCAATTTTGGTGAAAATCAAAGAAACGGCCTAGGACGAGTTCGATCAAATAGGTTTTTCAAAAAATTTAAAATAGAGCTGAAAAATTCATGACATCATGGGTGCGTTTGAATGAGCCAACGAATCAGAGGAAAAAATAATTGTGATTGTCGCCCATTCGGTTCAAAAGTTATCATGATAAACATACGTGAACGTTTGGACAAGTGGTGGCGCTAGAGAGTTTGATTTTGAGACTTATTTGGTCTGATTAATGATAATACTGTCCTCTATCATTGTGCAAAATTATACAACTTTCCCGCATACGCCTATATGGGCTGCCATTCAAATCCGGCGGAAGAAACGGAAGAAGAAGAAGAAGAATAGGAACGCTAACGAAAGCAATAGCCTACCCACCTACAGTGCTTGGCCCCTAATAATTCTTTACATTTATATAGTGTTTTTCTGGACACTCAGAGCGCTTTCCACATTGGGGGATCTCCTCGTCCACCACCAGTGTGCAGCATCCATCATATTGCAGCAGACCACACACACACACCAGCTGATTGGTGGAGAGGAGACAGAGGGATGAGGCCAGTTGTGATAAGGGGAGGGTTAGGAGGCCATGATGGACAGAGGCAAACCAGGGTTAAACCCCTTTTTCAAAGGACATCCTGGGATTTTTTTATGACCACAGAGAGTCGGGACCTTGGTTTAACGTCTCAACTGAAAGACGGCGCTCACTGAGCAGTATAGAGTCCCCTTCACAATACTGCGGCATTAGGACCCACACAGACTGCAGGTTGAGCGCCCCCTGCTTGGCTTCAGTGAGTGACCATATGAGAGTTGCAGAGAGCCTGCTGCCAGAGAATGCGGCATGCTGTCCCGGGAGAGAGCCCTGAGCTCATAAGATCTTCGACTCCGGGGCTCCCTTCCGTTTGCAAGGTGAGAGGGGAGTTAAGTCAGATAACTACTGACTAGCAGCATGTGTATGTGCTGATGTGGATCAGTCAATTAACTTCAGCTGCATGCTTTTGGACGGTGGGAGGAAACCGGGGAACCCGGGGGAAACACACATGAGCACGGGGAGAACGTGTAAACTTTCTCATGTAGACGTTCTTGCTGTAAGGCAACAGTGCTAACCACTGGGCCACCGTGCCGCCCATCTAGGAAAGGAGGAGGAGTAGGGGAGGAAGGGGGGACTCTTCAAAACCAAGATGGCTGTGATATGGAGCTGAGGGTGTTTACAGTGGCTTAGGACTCGTCTGATTGGTGAATCATGAATTGGATAATGCAGGACCGGCTGTGATCAATCATAAGCACGTGATCCTCTCGACATTAGTGTATAAATAACCTTCACTAAATCAGAGATGGAGACTCATCATGTGACGGTTGTCAGTGTGTGATGACTGCTCTGTGTGTGGACTATATTATAATGGATTAACAGCGTGAGCACACATGATCCCCCAGACTGACGCATGGTGAATGAGTTAATCTGAGACTCTTCTGGTGGACGATGAGGGTTAACGGGTTATTAAAACAACGTGTGAGTAGAGTAAATGAAGTCAGATTGAGCTCTTCTGAGTGAACACTAATAACCTGATCTGAGCGCTCATAACCGCAGAGAGCTGAGAGCTATATTCAGCAGAACCCTGCAAACGTCTTTCAGGCGGCCGATGTCTCGAATGTTGAATAATCCACCGACAGAGACACTTAAGCCTCGCTAAGACGCATCTGAAGCCCAGGTTCTTGTTTCTTGTGCTTTCGAGACGCCTGAAGGAGAGGCGTGAGTCTGAGCAAAGCTTTCCGGGACGCCGAGGCTTACGAGGACTCCACAGACTGGATCAAGCTCTGAAATCTACGGTTTAGCAAAGAGGAAACATCCAGCTGCGCTTCAGATCAGCTCGTCTCTCAGACAGCAGCACACACACGTCTGACAGTCACAGTCACTTTCTTTAGAGACGCCATTAACCAAAGGACACCCAGAATTGGACACAGTGATATTGGAGGATCTACAGGAGCGCGCAGGCCGGGTTAGTGCATGCAGTAATGCAACCATCCGCATGCACATTACACACACACACACACACACATGCGCCGTGCACACAACAGCTCAATGCAGACATTAGGAGTCCGTTCAGGCGCTGGATATTAGAAGATATTAATTGAATGACCTGCAGCAGCGTCTA